TTGTAGCCTCCCCCCACCCACCCACCCCCTAAACAGCACCTTCAATTTAAAAAGTTCAATCCGAGTTCTTGAATTTCGGTAGCTACGGAGCTTTGATGGCTAAAGAGAAAGATCCTTGTAATCCAAGAGCAAACAACCGAGAGATGGAACAATCAACGGGTCGTGGGGGGGAGCAGCTGTAACGGCAGGCCCCCCCAAGGCTGGGGCAGCTCCCCTGCATTAAACTGCCCTTCCACAAGGCAGAAGGGAGGGGGAAGTCAGTCACTCCCAGGAGCCCGGTTTCTGGCAAGGGGACAAATGCATTAGCCTAGACCTACTCTGCTTTCCTGGGCCAATCCGCCTTGGACAGCTCCTCAATCGACTAGGGCTTTCGGAGCAGCAGCCATTTGCGTTTGTTTGCTTTTTTTACTATACAATAGATATTTGCATCCACACAAGTAACAGGTTTTCTTTGTTCAAACAAGTCCTAGCTAAGGTTAACCCCTCAGTGTACGTACTTACTCGTAAATGCTTGATCATACACAACTGAAAGTATCCTCAGAACAAAAATAAGATTAAGAATGTGACCCCCAAAAGGGGAGGTTTATGGCAGGGAAGTGGCAGAGACCTAAAACCGCAAGGCCAGGAGGAAGGTTCAGAAGCAAAGCTGAGTGATCGGACACATTCAATCAGGGCAGATGGTTATACAATGAGTGTAGTGGAATATCAGGAAAAGCTCCATACAAAGTCATGTGCATTTTTCTTGAAGCTGAGATTTCTGGATTCCTCCATGTGCCAAACCTGGGGGGGAGAAGATGAGGCGTGGCATTAAAGGGGGCTGCAGAGGGAGCCCGTCTCCGAGTCCAAGACCTGGGAGGGTCTCTCCTCTGTGAGAAAGGGGCGGGCCCGCCCGGTTATTAGCAGAGCAGGTACGTTCTGAGGTACGTTCCAATTTTTCAACAACCCCCCCCCAGCACCACCTGCTGCATTAGGAGCAGGCCTCTGCCCTGCTGCACCTCGAGACATCCCAATCCCTCCCCACAAGCAGCCAGTCCGCTCTCCTTAAGCCCCGGAACCGGCACCACCACCCCCTCCTCTCCAGACACTCCCCACCGATGGCTACTCCCCCTCCTCCAGGGCAAGCAGAACCAGTTGCAGATCATGGTTCCAGTTAGGAATGCGACAGTGCAGTCGAACCGAGAAACAAAAGCTCATCCGCTAATGCTATAGACTACACATATTCCCACCCCCCCAGTAATTTTTTCAGCAGGCTGGCAGCAGCCCGGCTCAGTCCCCGCTGCAGTTCTGCATTTAAAGCGTATTAGGAGCCAGCAGCCCAGCTCAGTTCCGGCTTGTGCCAGGTCTGGAAGCTCAGTTCCCATCCCCGGCCAGAGCCTGCTGCCACCTTGCGCTGCTGCCTCTATCAGAGGCAGCAGCGCGGGACGACAGTCAGCCCATCCACGAGGGGGGCTGGTTTTTAAGCTGCCTCCCCTTGCGGCCCTTCTCCCGCCTGGCACCCCGCGCTGCTGCCTCTGTATCAGAGGCAGCAGCATGGAAAGGCAAGGGACTCCTCGGGGGCGGGGCCGGAGCGCACTGGCTGCCGGCCACGCCCCTGGGGACTACAGAATAAGAATTCATGAGATTAACTAACAATTCGATAAAGTGACATTTAACATCCCGAGTTCCAGTGGCTTTGCCCACTTACGGTCACCCGGCCGTTCCAGGCCTTCACCTACCCAAGAACAGGGAGTTGAGGAAGGGGCCTCCTGTCATTCCAATCTGATAAGCTCCACATCAAAAATGAGCGTGGCGTTTGGGGGGATGATGCCGGGGTGGCCGGTCGAGCCGTAAGCGTAGTCTGGGGAGATGATCATCTTTGCTCTCTGCCCGACGCTCATCTGGGGGAAAGAGACAGAACGGGGTCGGAAGAACGCTACCCCACCCCCAGCCCCACAAAGGCGCCTCGGGAGTGCAAAGCATGGCCTAGCCCCCCAGCCGCACCCGATGCCAGCACACGGGCATCCACCCATCCAATTGAGGAGTCGGCCGGCAGGGAACAGTCAGTAGAACAGAGACTGGGGCGAGGCTGCTGGGGAGCTCAGACTGCTCCCCGTCATCGTCATGCTGGCAAGCTCTCACTGGCTCCTGTACCGGTCCGTTGTCCTGCCTTACACGCTGGCTGTAAGCTCTTTGTGGCAGCGGCTGCCTGTTGTTTGGGCTTTGTGCCCCGACAAACTCCTGTGCACGACTCTGGCTGCCTGGCCCAAGGGGCACTGATAGAATTAGCCCTGGCAACGCAGCCCCGCCACCTCCTCGGGCTGCTCCTGAAGACAAGGGGGGAGGAGAACTCGTGCGGCTCTGGCTCGTGCTCCGATTCCATCTTGGATCTAGGACAGGGCTGGGGGCCCCAAGGCCCGGGTGCCATCCCCGGTTGGCCTGGAGCCAGCCCCCAAGGCTTGGGGCTCCCCCTCAGCATTCGGGAGCCTGCGCTGGTTTTTAGTCTCTTCCTCCCCCCGCCACGGTTCTCCTGTGGGGATGGGGCGCTCAAAATCTACTAGCCTGGGCTGGCCTAGGCCCTGGTGTGCAGGGAATGTGGGGAGGGGCTTTCTCCTCAGTCAGGCCACATCAGTTTGGGGTTTTTTTGCTTCTCACTTGTGCGCGGCCCCCGACTAATTTTTCTGTGAGTCAGCAGCCCCCCCTCCCCTCCGCTCTAGGGGTCCATTTCGACTTGCTTCCAGGCCCTCCTCTTCCCCCCAAAGGAGACGGGGCCGATGCGCCATTCTCCGCTTGGCCACGGACCCGGCTGCCCCAGAGG